CCTTTATGTAGGAAGGATCGGAGCCGATAAGCGCCGATTAGCGCCGATCGGCTTTCGGCTTTCTTCCTGTATACGGCCTTAAGGTCGTCAGCGTTCCCGCGCTTTGAGTGACGTCATCCTTTCTTTTTTTTTAAGTAGGTATTTTATTGTGTCCAATTTGCAAAGGTATTTTAGATCGGCTGAATGATATTTAGGTTATCGACTCGATATCAATATTACTAATAGATGACGTAAAAAATACATATTTGTATTGAAAGTGTCATTTTAGTGTGCAGTGTTAACTCAGAGATATTATTTAAATCTCTGATTTAAGAACCCACTGTCCGACTGACCTCAAAGTCTGAATCAGGTTTATACAAAATGTGAATGATGTTTCGTAACGTTTAACAGTAAATTTTATATTCAAATCCCAAAAATTTATGTTTTTAAATGCGAAACTGTTCTTATACCGAAACAGGTACAAGACGAAGATGATGGCGTTTTTAATCCCCGATTTTTTAATTAAAAGAGGTGTCACAGGTTTAATTTGATATGAATATACAAAATTAATGAACACTCAATGAATATAAAAGTTGAAAAGGGTGATATTGAAGAGGATTTAACTCACTACCTGGATGTTACTTTAGAGGTCACACTTTGAAAGAGAGAAGCAAAATTGAGGATATATAAAATCTTACTTCCTTCCTACTAATTTAATATTATAAATCTAAAAGTTTCATGTTTATAATTTAATTACACAATGGCGGTTTAATAGATTTGGATGAAGATTGACACACAGGCCCCCTTAACACAAGGCCCCTTAAAACAAGGAATTAGCTTAGACTAGTAAAGTGAAGTGTTTTGTTCATGTCAATCAAATGCCATTTGTCATTAGGCGTGTTTACACAGAGCGAGCAGCCTCGCGAGGCATTTGCCGCGCTAGGAAACTGTCCCCGAATGAGCGAGGCTGCCGCGCGCGGCAAGCCCGAGCCAGTTTTCTTCGTTCGTTCATTCTCGTGATTTGTCCCACCTGAAAGATCCCATCAATGACTCCATTTTCTTTTTTAAATCAGGAACCGGGACATTCATCTCGTGGCTAATACTTAACCAGGCATCTTCCCTAAGTCCTCTATTTGTAAAATTAGGATCACTTGCACTCCATAGCCAGGTGTTTACACTATAGAGAGATATTAATTTCAAACACTGATAGTTATTCATAATTATTATGCTCGACTGAGGCACGAAACAAAATACGCGAGCGTCCAGAGTGCACGCGGCAAACGACCGAGGTGCCTTTGAGCAAAACAAAAAACCGACACTCGATGGCTCGGGCGCTGGCTAGCTCGCCCGCGGCAGCGCGCGCGCTTGCCTCGGCCGAGGCACGTCTACATTAACCTCAAAGCTCTGTGTAGACACGCCTCAATAGACAGAGTCAAAACATGGAGTAACTAATCCAAGTGTAGTATTCGTTTATTAATAAGGAGGATATAGTTTATTATCTTGATTAAGACATAGGTTTTATGTTGTTGGTAAAATAAACCACTGCTCACACTAGTAACTGTTTTATTAGTTATAATCAATATAATCATACAAGTTTACAAGATGAATAACGATTTGTATTTTACTAACAGTTCACAAAAAACCATTTTACCAAAGACCGGATTTCCTTTTATAAACCAACCATAGAGTATTATATTTAGCCACAGACTATACACAAAGTTCCTAATATACAACAATAGGATACTTATTATCCCAGATTGTCCCAGATAACGTGAGGAGCTCGATGGTGCGGGTGGTTAGTGCGTTGGGCTGCGATCGTTTAAGCTAAGCAACTTTCGCAGTGGTCGGGCGATGGATGGATGACCAAAAATCTCGAGTTCCTCCGTGCTTCGGAAGGCACGTTTAGCCGTTGGTCCCGGCTGCATCTGCAGTCGTTAGAACCCGCCAATCCGGCCCGCGTGGTGGGTCATGCATGGCCCAATCTCCCTGTTCCATCCATAGGGAAGGCCTGTGCTCCAGCAGTGGGGACATTAATAGGCTGATGATGATGATGATGATGATGAAATGTTTTTTCAGAGAATCCATTTTTTTATAATAGGATGCCCAATGAAAAAAAACTGTTTCATTCTATCTTAGTAAATGTAGTCACATGCCTTGTTAATTTTCGTAAAAATAATCTAATATGTATATAAAATTCTCGTGTCGCGGTGTTTGTGGTTAAACTCCTCCGAAACGGCTTTCCCGATTCTCATGAAATTTTGTGTGCATATTGGGTAGGTCTGAGAATCGGACAACATCTATTTTTCATCCCCCTAAATGTTAAGGGTAATCCACTCCTAATTTTTTTTTCAATTTTAGATAATTTTTTTTTTAATTTTTTTCTGATACATCATACAAAAATACGTACAACCCTAAATTTTCACCCTTCTACCACCAACCCCTATTTTTTTTATGGCGGTACGAAGTTAGCTGGGTCAGCTAGTACCAATATAAAATTTATTTATTTATTTAATCTTTATTGCCTTTACACTGCAAATGGCGGACTTAATGCCAATATGGCGTTCTCTACCAATCAACCGGAAAGAAGATACAGAGCTATAAAAACGGCAGAATCAAAGAAGAGACATTAAAATCAAACAATGAGCAAATATACTGACACTTAACTATACATACAACCATACTTATATAAATATACACACAGACACTATAAACAAATATATATATATACATATATATATATATATATGGTTGTAAAATTCTAGTAGGTACCTAAGATTCGTCGATGACTAAAATTATTGCAATCTTACAAATTACCCAATATTTTTGATTAGCATTTTGTATTCTATGTAAGGAGGACACGTCGAAATGAAAGGAGATCCTGACTTAGTTACAGATACTTAATATTGGGTGGGTTCTAATAACGAAGCCACACAAATTACAACACTTGGTGTTCACTAAGAAATTTAATGCCCCATAGCTAGATTAACTGTTTAAAGGAACTCTTTGTAAAATTAGGACTATTGTTATATTTAATCCTTTTATAATGTTAAAGTATGGAAAAGCAATATCGATAATACGCCATTTTGGTGCTGCTTAAAAATTTGCATTAAATAAAAAAACCAGTGCGCTAAACACGACTGTAGTGAAACTTCTTTAGCTCCATCTGTATGTATTTTATGTTTTAACACCCTGTAGGTGTTACAAAAATACACATAAAGCTTGAAGGGCGTTGAAGTACATCATATAAGGAGTCTTCTCCTATTTTCTTATTTTAAATGATTAATAAAAATATCGATCATTTTAAGACACATCATTACTTCGAGGATCATTAAAAATAACTGTTTTATAAAGAGCTAAAACTTCATGCAAATATTTTAAGAAATTTAGAGAAGACTCCTTATATAATGTACTTCAACACCCTTCAAGCTTTATTTGTATTTTTGTAACACACTGTATATATATATACATATGTACAATACATGTGTACAATATATACATGTATGTACATACTCCCTTTCGCAACCCGAACACAGTTTTCGTAATGCGTAACGCATTCGCCAGCTTACCCCCCCCCCCCCCCCCCCCCCCCCCCCCTAAGTAAAGCGTGCGTAAAGAAGTTTCACTTCAAAAACTGAAATTAAGTTAATTTAACAGCAGCACCAAAGTGGGGCGAACGATTATGCTTCTCCACTGTCGATATGTTTGGATGTCTCTTACTCAATCAGGCAAAAACGATTGAACAGATTCGAATGAGATTTGCAACACGTGTAGTTTAATACCTGGATTGAGACAAAGGAAAAAATGCTAGGTTCCTCTGGGATTCTTATAAACTTAAGTTAACTCGGACGAAATCATAAACGGAAGCTATAGTATTTTAGATACAATAATCGTAAGTAAGTAGTATAAATTGTGAAGGACGAAAATTAAGTTAATAATGCTACTATACTAAATGAAGAGGTAACGATTTTAGTTGAGAATGCAACTTTATAAAGCTTAATATTCCATAAAATGCAGTGGTTAAATTTTTGTTCTACGACAAATATTGACGAAGTTATGACCAAATTACAAATCGAATTTTCGGCTGACCGCGTGGTGATTGTGTCGTCACAGAGGTCCAGCGCTCGGACGTGATCTTGCACAGGGACGCTACAAAAGTTCGAGTGAATCATGATCGAGCTCTGTGACGTCACACGTTTCAGAAAATTTGTGAGGTGTGTGTGTGTGTGTGTATGTTTGTTACTTATTCAAGTCTGGCAACGGCTGGAGCGATTTTAATAAAATTTGGTATGGAGTTAGCTGACACCCTGGATTAACACATAGGCTACGTTTTACTGCGGGAATATATCCCTAACAAGCTTCGGGTAACACCTCGGGCCACAGCTAGTAAATTATAAAATCGCAACGAATGGACTGTTTTCGATTATTTAAAAAGTAATTAAAAATCTTATTAAATCATTATTGATCATATTATACTGTTGATTTTGAGTTAATCCTTATTGGTTTTTGACGCCGGGTTTTTGTAACAATAGTAATCCTTTAGCAGTGCATTCTACTCCAAAAGTCTTGGGTTTGAATCTTTGTAGGGGCTTATTAAATTTTACGGATGAGTAATAACTTGATGAGATTACTTCAATGACATTCCTAGATAGGTTTTTTGTTTTTTTTTTTAGTTTATTAAGGTCAAGAATCAGTTTTACAAGAAATCTTATATAAAATATAATAACACCAAGTTTTTATAATAAAATTCTAGATAGGTTTTTGTTATCAAGTCATTGTTGTATTAATATACGTTAATAATTTTTCATAAGTAGGGTCTGGTATTTCAAAACAAGGAGATTTAAGTACTCACTAATTTCTCTATTATAAATTTCTTCTGTTATTATAAAAATGTATTGTCGCATTGGTCAGTCTTACAAACATTCTATGTTGCTAAGTACACGGTCAACGCCTTCTCAGGCATTTCTCGACCAGTCACACAACATCTTTAGCGTCAATTTTTATTATTAACCCACTGAGCCTACCTTGAAATCAGACTGGAGCACTGTCTCGACACTGTAAAGAACCTTCCTCGCAAAAAGTGGCGGCAAAAACTGCATGGAATTTAAAAACAAAACTTCGACATCACTTCTCGGAATTCGCGTTCGCAATTTCGCGTTAAATTAAATTCTTCGGAGCTAATACTTTTCCTTCATTTTGAAATTTATTAAAGGGACGCAGGTAAACACTAAAAAAAATTTTTTTCCTTCTAAAAAGTTTATCAAACACGATTATTTATTACGGTAAGTAAAACTTTTGTTAAAACGCGCTCTCCCGAAAGCCGGCGCCAAACCAAACTACTCAAACAAGTTTCGTTGGATGGTTGCTCATGGATGCATTCCCCGCTAGGATGTCTGCACTTTCGATTAGACTCAAAGACAGATCAGTTAATAAAAAAAAGAATTGATTGGTACACCATTTAATAATAATAATAATAATCATTTATTTCAGATAATTATAATAGAATTATAATCCATAGTTATTAGTACAAGTTAGTAACAATTTAGGACTAAAGCTAAATTGTTATTTATTTAAATAATAATTAAGCTTTAGTCTGTACTTTGTATGAGCATGTCTAAAATGATTAATCATATTAGATAGTTTGGTGTGTTTGATAAAATTAAAGAAAATTGTCACATTAAAATATACAACTTTCGACTTATCTTTATTGTATTCATATAATTAAATACTACTGAATTTTAAGTAAATTATGTAAGTGTTTAAATGTTTCAGTATGTGGAATCTTAACTGGTTTATTGTAAAGTAATAAGTGATACTTAATTGATTTGAGTAAAATCAAATGAAAATGAATAAATAAATTGTAAGAGAAATTCCTTTATTTTGACAACCTAATTCGTATTTCTCTACACCTAGAACACAGCATAGAGTAAGGTTTTTTCTATGTTGTTTTAATAAACACAATGTTTTAATAAAAACAAATTTAAAAAGCTCCTTTGTTCAAAGGGCTACTATACACTGCATGAGTATTTTAATGATAAAGAATTAAAATGATGATTTTTAGTAATTTAATGTGATATAATTTATTTAATAATATAGTGGTGTCGATTCTAGCATGATTCTCTAAACCTAAACTTAAATTTGACAGCAGTATATCCTTGTCATTCTCTATACAGAATGAAAAGGAGAGACTGATGTTAAATTTAGTTTTAAGTTTAGAGAATCACGCCAGAATTGGCACCAATGTGTAATTTATTTAATGCAATTTTTACGACATAGTATTTTATTAATTTTATCGATAAGTAAATTTTTTGATGTGTTTTAAATTTATATTTATTTATTAAAAAAAAAAAAACAAACTCTTTAAAGCACATTGCTATGCCCTAGACTAGTTCGTGTAAGGATCTCAATGAACGCTTTGTAACTGGCGGTAACCAAGGAGAAACGCGAGAATCTTGTCATTGAACTCAATCAGGCTTTGGACCACATTTCCGAATGGGGTACCAGGAACTTGGTTGAGTTCAATGCCAAAAAAACTCAGGCTTGCGCTTTCACGGCAAAAACATCGTCATTCCTTCCCCTTCCATCTCTTCAGGGCACAACACTACCGCTGCAGAGCAACATTTCCATGCTCGGTATGGAAGTTCGCTCAGACCTGAATCCAAAGAACTACATCGAAACCGTGATCAAAACAGCTTCACGCAAACTCGGAGTCCTGAACAAGGTGCGGCGTTTTTTCACGCCCGATCAACTGTGCCTGTTGTACAAAACGCAAGTGCGGTCCTGCGTGGAATATTGCTCGCACCTCTGGGATGGCTCCGCCAAGTACTTGCTCGATGCTTTGGATAGGTTACAGCGACGAGCGATCCGCATCATAGGCGATGAGGAGGTGACTAAACACCTTGAGCCTCTTCAATTACGCCGTGACGTGGCGTCACTAAGCGCGTTCTATCGTCTGTACCACGGCGAGTGTTCTGAGGAGTTATTCTCTCTTATCCCACCTTCTCCTTTCCTTCAGAGGACCACGCGCGCTGGCCTACGTTGTCATCGTCTAACTGTGGCCACAATTCCAACGCGTACAAAGAAATTTGGTGACTCATTTCTTTGTCGCACTATCCGTAAATGGAATGCTCTGCCCGCTCACGTGTTCCCTCCCTCTTACAACCTCTTACAGGCCGGCAGGGTGAGGATGGCTGGTGTGGCAGGTAAAACTGCTGTATCAGCTATCGTCACGTCTGGACTTCACCTTCACTTAACATCAGGTGGGGTGGACTCATTTGTCGGACCTATCTATAAAAAAAAAAAAAAAAAAAAAAACACCTCTGTACACCTACATGAAAAAGCAATAAATATGATTATGAATATGTCCCCCCCCCTGATGATAAGTGTAAGGGTAAAACTGTACTTCCAGGGCCCAAAAGGTGATACTTGTTTTTTTTTTAGAAAAGGTCTTTTTAACAGTTTTTTTTTCTGGCGCTTCGCCGGCCGCGGCCTAACCTAACCTAACCTAACCTAGTGTGAAGTATCACCACTTGATAAGAAAAGTAAAAATTTTCAATATTTTTTTCCAAAAAACTACCAGTGCATAAGTGTGACATTTTTTAAAATAATGTGGTTAACAGAAACCTTTTTAACAACAAAAATGCGAAATTACAACCAACAAAACTGTGAAGTTTTTACTTTTGGGCCCTGGAAGTACAGTATATCCAGTGTAAGTGGAGTCCAGTAGCGAAGACAGATGATGCGACAGGAAATCTGCCTCTCCAGCTAACCTCACCTTGCTGGCCTGAATCCAATCCCCTACCCCGTGGAGCCAAAGGCGGATCCAGCTTTGACAGAAACACAACACCACCAAAAGGTAATGTCAGACCCGTCTTTCCCATTGGGCACTTTGGGCAAGTGCCCAGGGCCCCGCGATCGATAGAGGGCCCTCTTAGATCAAATACAAAGTCCCTAGTTCCTGTTAAATCACCAAACGGATGTCATAGGGGCCCCATTATCCTAATATGCCCAGGGCCTCCAATAGGTCAAAGACGGCACTGGGTAATGTTATTTTACTGTAAGTTGTAAGTTACCTAAAAAAATTACTGACAACATTTTTTAAAAGACCAGCTTTTATTTGATGCAAGAGTTCTTCAATTTTAATAGTACCTAGTTAATTTCAGCAAGAACTTATTTTTTTTTAATTGTTCCTACGTGATGTTATTTTATTTGAAATTATTATTATTATTATTATTGAATGCTATTTGTCAGTGTTATTAATTATTAGTTACCAATTATGTTACGTTCAAGTTAATTTTAATTTAATTGAAGTAGTTTAATTTTTTTTAATTAAGAATTTTTTATTATAAATTGCTATACCCTTTCAGGGTTCATGTGTCTGTATCTAATATTTTTATGTAACATCTGTAATAACCACATGAGTGCAATAAATAAATAAATACTTCCCCAGACGGGAGCTCCAATTCGAGTTTAGTAGGACAGTAAAATTGTCTACCTATCCTTAAAATGACCCACTGAAGCAAGGGTAACCTACCTACTTATACAAGAGTGGGACAGAGCTAGAGTCCCTCCCACCCGTATTCCATACACTACTGAATCTGAGACGGACCACGCTTGGAGCAGAGCAGTACTTACGATAGGTAGAATGTCTCATTGATAAACCACGAATCTGGTAACCGTATACTGATTAGCATTCCCGCAGTGTGCAACAAACAATGTGAATGAAACACTGCCGGTTTTATGTGCTAATGTGTTGCTTTATTAGAAGTACAGTCGTCAGTATAACAGTGAATATTTAATTTTCCTTTACGATACTTATTTCACTGTCTTTGTAGTTGTTAAATTTGTGGTCACTGACAAATGAATTTTATTCAATAAGGTTGTCTTGACTGTACCTATGATTAATTCATGAATTACATTTAGGAATTGGGTTTATTTCGTCGAAATCTCTTATCTATTAGACAAGTCCGTCCGTCTGTGGTGCTATTTCAGCGGCCAAACCGTAAGAGATAGATAAAGAGGATATTTAAGTTATAAGTTAAGAATAGTCTGATAAGACTACAAACCGGATTTGAGTAACGTAGCACTTCCGGTTTTCGAGAAATCACGAATTTCAAACGAAACCACAGAAAATCTCCGAAGTTCTCAATTAATTAAATACATTTTTTTTTAATCAGGTTTTGGTGAACATTTGGTTCACTGGTTTGCTAGTATTATTATAATATAATCGGTCCGGCTGTTATTATTTATAGTAACTATTTTCGTAAATAGGTATGATGGTATCCCAAATGCACCAAATATAGCTGCCGTGAATAAGATACCTAACTGGTTCCTGGTTAGTACTAAACTAATATTTATTTAAAGATTTGATTATTGTGGCATAATTATACATGCACTTTATTAATTAAATACGCAACCATAATAGGGTATTTGACAAGTGTTAGAAAACGATTTCACGTGATTGCCTAATATTTATGGAATCCGTAAAAAGTATCCACTTTAAAATATCCATTCATCATTTTGTTGTGTATTTCAGTAAAATAAACAAATCAAAAACTCCATTTTCAAGTTGCCGCGAAAACGTTTCTCTGGACACTATGGCGTCTTACTAGTGTGTGAGGTCACACGACTGTTATTAAAACGTCAAACGATACAATGTAATGTCACTTTAACCAGGAGTTTACTTGCGTGTGACGTCATTTTTAGCGTTTTGGGTCACGTGACAATAGATAAGATAACTATTATCTTTTTGACGTGACAACGTCTTAAATTAGGTTGCGGCTGGGAGTCACTTATGAAAAAGTGTAACGCTCGGTAACGTTACGATGAGTTTAAGTTTACATGTACAATGTTTTAGTAAACAAAATATATTTCTATAGTTAAAATTTGTGCAATTCTTATTTTCATTCAATTCCTTGTTCCTATTGTGCAATTTAATTATATTCATATCAATAAATATTCTACCGAGAAAAAGACGTTGTCACGTAAAATCTTCGCCCGTAAAACCGACTTTACAGGCAACCATTTTTTTTTGTTTATTTAGTAAAATTATGAATATTTGTTTTTGTAAAAATAGTAAAGATCCCTGCCAATATTCATTCTAAACACAGATGCTAACATATGGCACTTTATTTTTAATACTGTCAAATACCCTAATATTATTAACCCGCCCGCCGCCTTATTAATAAACGAGGAGTAAGCTTTAACTAGTTACGCCGTGTTTGTTCACATCACTCAAATTACATTTGTCATTCAATGAACAGAGACAAAACAGAGTAACTAATCCAAGCTTATTCTGAGTTTATTAATAAGGGGGTATATGTATATTATATATCTTTTATTTATTTAATAAAAAGGGTGGCAAACATGCGTATGGCCCGCCTCATGATGCGCGGCCAACATAACCTATAGCAAGGCTGCTCAACCCCAGGATTTGACTTTGACTTTGAATCAAAAAGTTGATTTAGATTTTGAGAAGAAACACAGACATAGGTACTAACTTAATTCAAATTTTGTTTCTCTATTTAATAATAATAATATTTAGAATATGATTGTCTATGTTCCCAATAAACAATAATTCAATTTTATATTCATAATAATTGAGTTTTCATTGCGCTTGTCCAGAGAGTAACTGAAAAAGGAAATGTAAGTGGCCCGTCGTTATCGACTAAATCCACCTTTTGGCCCGACTGTTCAAAAGGTTGAGCAGCCTTGGCCTATAGTATAGACACTTGTGCGATACAAAAAATATCACTCGCAGCGTTGCCTATCCTGACCCAATACCCTACCCCGTGGATGGAGCTCTGCCCCTCTAGCAGGACCACCGAAACGGGATATGATAAAGCGATATATCGGCATTAACTGTCAGAAACTACTATGGAGTTTGACAGTAGTCTGACAGTTACTGGTATCGATTCTGGCGTGATTCTCTAAACTTAAAACTAAATTTAACATCAGTCTCTCCTTTTTATTCTGTATAGAGAATGAAAAGGATGCACTGTTGTCAAATTTAAGTTTAGCTATAGAGAATCATGCCAGAATCGACATCAATGTCGATATATCGGTTTATCATAACCCGTTTCGGTGGTCATGCTAGAGGGGCTGGAACTGGAACCTTACTCTTCGATAGAAAAACAACACCACCGAAAGATAATGGTATTTTTCAACACATTTGCTAAAGAATGCTTTTACGGAGGTTACACATTATTCGAAAGTTAAAAATTACACACCACACAATAGCTCCCATACATAGCACCGTACGTATCCCTACTGTTTTTTTTTTCTTTCGATCGAACCTCTTTGGAAGCGCTGTTGACCTATACGTTTGTCTCACTTTGATACTAAAAAAAGGAAAAGATTCAAAAGATGTAGTTCCAATTTTCACCACTAGCATGTGGCGCCACGATATCCTTGGCAGTATTACCTAAAAATTATACTGTTTTCTAGCAAATGTGTTGAAAAAAGTTGTACCTAGGATATTCCAAAATATTTACAAACTTGTGACTATGGTAAACCCTCGACTTCGGTTCGTTCTTACATTCGTCTACACGTTTGTAATAACCAACTTATGTGGTCTTCTGTACGGTGCTATCCACACGGGCGCTCCAATTCCAGCGGAAAATCCGCTATGCCTCTCTTTAGCTACAAATAACTACAAATAATGCCTGGCATTATGTAAATTAATACATTTGACGATCTATTGTTTTGCTTACAAAATCTAATAAGGCGCGACTACAATGCATATTTCAATTGAGATTTTTAAACTTTATTATTATGATTATCACTATTATCAGTCATTGGGTATAAGATTTTTAAAATATTGTGACTTAAGTGATTTAATAAAATTATTTCCTTTTTGAAAATAATACGTACCAATCAAGTCGATTAAAATCTGTGACGATGAGTGATGAACGAAACCACGACACGACTGAAGTTGACATTGACAAGTTAACATAAACATAACATAACCTCAACTCAATGTGGAAACCACCACCTTTTGCTAAACTAATTAATATTTAAAATAAAGTAGACCAAAATGAGTGCAGAGCCAACAGAAAATGGTACAAATATAAAGAGAATCAGAAAGAAACGTAAAAACTTTTTGGCCAACGCTAAAAAGTATGCGAAAAAAGGTCAAATGGGCCGTGGTGCCCGAATGTCTGACGATTTGTATCAATACTTTGTTGGAATACTTGATGCCATGAAGCAGGGAGTCGAAGATGAAGAGGAAAGAGGTAAACTGACAAATTTTACTCAAAATACGCCATATTAATACAACTAACTCCGTTTTTAAGGTTGCTTGTTGCACTCAAATGTATTTGTTTAAGGAATTAACTTTATTTGATTTATATATTACAGTTGCTTTGGTCAACAACGTATTAGAAAGAACAAAAGGCGAAGAGCTAAATGTTGTCGGTAACCAGCTTGGATGCAGAGTCATTGAACTGTTGCTGCCGTTCGCATCTGCTGAAGATCTGGAGCGCTTCATGGATATACTTTCTCCGGAGTTACGTAGACTTTGCTCTGATAATTTCTCCAGTCATGTTGTAGAAACATTACTCAGGGTGTCATGTTGTAGAGCCGTAGAGAACTTACAAAACGTTGATCCTGAAGAAGATGTGCCAATAAAGAAGAAAAAGAAAAGTAAAACAGACTCAAAATACAGTGAAGAACATATACAAAAGTGTTACGACTTCACAATTAAGATTTGTAAATATGCTTTGAATAATCTCGAGGATTTCGTTTGGGACAATTATGCTAATCACATATTGAGGAGTGCAATCAAATGTTTGAGTGGCATAACTCTGCTACCCGGAGAAAAACCCAAAACAAATATGTTCAAAGAGACCGTTAAAGATGATAAAGGTATACCACCACACTTAATGACGATGGAGTATAAAGTTGTTCCTGATGAGTTTAAAGAAATAGTAAAGGATTTCGCAAATAGATTATCATCTTGGCCTCAATTCAAAGACTTGCCTTACCAGAATTTGACATCAGCGTTATTGCAAGTGCTGCTGTATGCAGTAAAAAATGTAGATAGTTCTATAACTAAAGATTTAGTGAAGAAATTGTTAAATGAAAGTTTTGCTCCAGATGATTGGGTATCAAATGAGTCTGATGAAAAAAAGAATGATGAAAAAGTGGATGCAGACATGAAAGAAGATGTAAATGAATCGGTGGCAATAACAGCTACACCACTGCCTCCAGTTTTTGAAAATCAGTCTGCAGTAAGGTTGGTATAAATCACGTTGACATTTGTATGAATATCTTTCCTTCAAACCCACAAACTTCACATGAGATTAACTGGCATTTATGTTATTTGTGTAAAACCAACTTAAATGGGTTATTAAGGGCTTTTACAAGCTTAATTTAAAGTTAAATAATGGAATACCTTTCTGTAAAATCTTTCCTACCTCTGTAGCATGCACACTGTGAAATGATAAACAGGTTGTTTTTTTCACCCTCAGTTGTCAAATTACTACAGAGTTTGACAGTTAGACATGATAAAAAATGTGATACAATTTATGTGGTGCTCATGTTACAGGGACAGTTTTTATGCTCAAAACACTGGAAAATATTCCATAATAATATGGATAATAATCCAAGTAATTATGAAACAACAAACTACAAAAAAACCTTGTTATTAGTCACTCTTCTATACTAATATTATAAATATTTGTTTGTTTGTATTGAATAGGCTCAGAAACTACTGGACCGATTTGAAAAATTCTTTCACATTTAGAATTCTACATAATCCCTGATAAACATAGGATATAGAGTTTTTTTTTCAAAGAAGCTAGGGTTCCGTATGAAAACTTCGAAAACAAAACCCAGGGTGTGAAAAAAATGCCAAAAAATAAATTTATATTGCTTACGCTGCAGTAGTCCTTGACAGTAGAGCAAAGTAATGTTCTAAAGTTTTAATGGACATCAATATCTAAAAAAAAGTATGTTACATCATATGTCTAACTATTAGAGTTATGTCACAACTAAAGGTCCCCTGCGGTTTCATCTGTGTTAATTTGAAGAAAAAGGTTATAGTAAGCAAAACTTAAACGATGGGCATATGCTGTCGCTGACTTTTTTATAGAACTTTTAAAGTGGAACAATTCGACCATATGTGATTTTTGTGTAACTTTAATCATTGACACACAATGGCATATTTTTACCGTTTTTGCAACATTTTACATCGATGATCCACTCCTACTTATCACAGCGTAATGTCATATGCCTTAAGCCTTCCTCAATGAATGCACTATCTAACACAAAAATAATTTTTCAAATCGGACCATTAGTTCCTGAGATTTACGTGTTCTACAAAAATATGGTGCATTTGGTACAACGGGTCCTAAACTACGCAACAAAATTTTCACTATCGGTTAAATAATTTTTTATGGAACAAAAACCTTAGTCTACCTTCACTACAGCTCAACTTCGAAGCGAAGTGTGGGCGGGCCACTAGTAAACAATAGATTAATAATACAATTTGTAATTACATTCTGTTCACAGTTATTTCCTCTTTTTGCAGATTGTTAGAGGCAGCATTGTTTGTGGCAAGAAAGAAGATGTACACTCAGATTTATGCAAAATGCTTTATAAACAGGCTTGGGCAGTTAGCCACTGTGCCCATGCTCAACTTCACTGTGCAACGACTCATCGACAACTGCCAGGTCAAAGAAGAGGTAACCGATTACAAATAGGATAGTCTCTACCTCAGTATATGCTGAGGAATATGACATCTTAAACAATTATGTTAATATTTTCTAGTTTAAAGCACTGAAGTGTTATATTTTTATATTCAAAGAAATTTTTCTTTAGTATAAAATGTCATGTTATGCCTATACTTGTTAAACATTTTCTTTACATAATTGCTTTACACTTGGAATATTTCTAGAACAATTGTTCTAGGTATTAATCTGACCAAATATTATTGCCAGTTCGAGCCGATGTTCGACGAGCTGTGTGGCAAGTTCTCGGCGTTATTGTTTTGTGGCAACTCTGGCGTGTTGGTGGCGATCGCCAAAGCGTGCCTTAGAATACGAGCGAGACAAACGCAGTTCATAGCGGTGAGTTTAATATAGTCAATTTATTATGATTATGTTATTATCTTTTTATATTTTTACTGACAGGATACATCGACCTATAGAGTTACACCACATTGTAGACTTCAGAGGCACAGGCACGAATTTTGACAGCTCTGTAATCGTATGATTGCTGTCAATTTTTTTATGGAAGAGGCTGGTTTATTTGTACGTCCGAATATGATGATTAACGAATTAGTATATTGTGGATAAGCTTTTACAAATTCGCTTTTATTTATTTTATCAAATTCCATAAAGACTTATGTATTCCTATTATTGGACACTGTGGTTACCTTGAGGAGGCTAGTGAGTAGTGATGTAACGAATGTCATTTTTTGAACATTCGCGAATGCGGATGCGTATGTCTGGTACCGACATTCGCGAATGCGAATATTTAGTTTTTTTTTAATTGGCGCCAATTGTCTATTCTATGGCATGGTGGCAGTCTCGTTCGAATTGCCGAGTTGATATGAACTCATCCGACTGAAGTGTCATTCCGCTCGCACCGGTCTTTCCGTAAACAAAACAAGTGAATTTTGAGGTTATTGATTGTGAGTGGTAATAGTGATTTATTAACATGAGTAAATCGAATTCTAGTGAAACATGGACTTATTTCACACTTTGCGATGCTGAACGAGCTAAATTCAAACTATGTAACAATGAATATTCAAGGAAAGGCAGAACTACAACTTCTTCAAATTGTTTTTTTCTAATATTCATATTCGCAAAACATTGCGAACAGAGATTTTGCGAATGCGAATATTCAAAAATATGCGAATATTCGCGAATGCGAATGCGAATTTTCGTTACATCACTACTAGTGAGTATGAGTGTCGTAAATATTTATTTATTCATTTTGATAATATTTCTCGCAGAGTCTTGAAAGTGCTCTCAACATCTCAGAAGATGGCAAGCATTTCTCGGTGTGTTGCCTGCGACTGCTACCCAAAGAGAAGATAGACTTGACCACCCTGGACAAGGAGTACTTTATCCATGTGCACGGATCTGTAATACTGCAGACTATTCTACAGTTTCAGGTGAGTTTTCATAGTTAAATATCAACAAAATGTAAATAATATGTATCTATGCTAAAATGACGTATTGAATTTAATTACGAAGTTTATTTTAGGCTTCAAAGCTGCCAATATATATAGCAGTTTAATACTGAAACGAAAAAGATTGTTGCATTTAGCTACAAATCCTTTTTTTTTGACGTGATAACGTTTTATTAAACTAACTGCACGCACGAAAAAGTGTCACGTTCCGCTTGAGCGTGAGCGTGCAAGCGATAGAGAAGCACGATTCGTGCACCATGCATCCGTGTTTGTGCACTTTTTTCAAAGCATCAAAGGAATTTCTTTATCTTTTTAACCGACGAAAAAAACGGTGGAGGTTCTCGAGTCGACGATATTTATTAAAACTCACTCATTTATTCAGTCTAGGTTGTTACAAGCTCTTGTGAAGGTCAAACGCTACGCCATCGGTTCGTAAATCTACGGCGGGAGACCTTGTACCGAGAAGAATCGGCAAGAAACTCAGCAAGGGCTATTTTTTTCTCCCTGTTTTGTTTCATACAATGTCGTCAGTTGAAAGATGACATCAAAAACTAAAAACATGTGTTGATGTCATCTTTCATCACATTAATATTATTAATTAACAATAAGTTATTTTTTTTAAGTTTATATTGGTTATGACCACGGATCACTTTTTACAGAGTTGTCCGATGTTAATAATTATAACACATAAATTTGGAAAAAACTAAGGGTAGAAATATAGGGGTGATTGTTTAAAAACAGATTTTGATGCCAAGTTGTATATTACAAAAATTATAACCACAAAAAAAAAAACTAAAAACTTTTTAAAAACAAAATTGGATAAGTTGGCAAAAACAATTGCTTGGCCTGGCACTGGCATGGACTCCGGACACATTAATTTGACTAAAGTTAAAAAAAGGTTTATTATTTTTAACTTTCCGGCGGTTATTTTTTTTTTCTTAAAAAAGTTTTTAACACAGAATATCCGCAATATTGTTATATTGAGTGCACCTGCAGCGTGTTTGAATGACCAATTGTGACTAAAGCGAATTGTGTTCATGCACCTAATTTTAGCAGTACATTTTTGAGTAGCGTGTGCCGTATCTTCTCTTTTACTTTTAATCTAAGACATCTCATTTTATTTTTTGTTACTAACGTCGTATTTTTAACAAGTAAAAGACATTACTCCTTCCACGGTTACTTCTGTTTAGGTTAATAACTTAATGCCAAAAATGAGAATAGGGATGATGACTAATTTTTTTTCTTCGTTTATCAGGTAGATTATCAAAAAGTATTGGACACGTATTTTTTCTTTTTTCACATAATATAAACATTGCAGAGATATATTGATTTGAAAAGTCGCTTAAAAGTGACGTCACCAGCCCCCACTCCCAGACTTTGATGCGCTATAACTTTGTCATTTTTGGTTTGTTGCCCAAAGAAAAATACGTGTCCATTATTTTTTGATCATCTAACTGACGGACTAAATATAATTTCGTTTACTGTACCCCGTCATCACCCCTATTCGTTTTAATGACAGTCGTGTGATGTCATTTTGTCCAGAGAAACGTTTTCTCGGCAACTTAAAAATTAAATCATAATTTTATTTTTCTACTGAAATACGCAAAAGATTGATACATACCCACTTTTTATGGCTTCAATAAACATTAGCAAAGAACGTGAGATCGTTTTTTAAAACTTGCAAAATAACCTATTCAAGTGTCAAACAATGCCTTGGTTACTTAGCAAAAAAGTAAATAACTTAGCAATGTCTTTTAAAAATGTATTTATTGTTTATTTATACCACATAATATGTGTGGTATTAATAAACAATAAATACATATTGTTTATTTATACCACACTAGCAAACCCCGCGAACTCCGTTTCGCCACCAGATGGCATCGTTTTATGTAACATTTCGTTTGGTGATTAAAAAATTTTTTTTTTAATTTTTCCTGAATTTTCTTTGCTGTAAACCTCACGGAGCCCGAGACCTTTCCAACGAATGCAAAACCGTGGAAATCGGTTCGTGCGTTTCGGAGTTATAGCGTCAGGAAGGAAAACCCGACTTATTTTTATATACCACATAATATGTGTGGTATTAATAAACAATAAATACATTTTTTTAAAAGACATTGCTAAGTTTTTTATTTTTTTTTGTAAGTAAAAAAAAAAAAAGTAAATAACTTAGCAATGTCTTTTTAAAATGTATTTATTGTTTATTAATACCACATAATATTATAGAATATGATAAGGTGGCGAACAAAACAGTATAATTACATGAAATTAAAACAGGAGCTGTATAAATCTGAATGACATGCTCCAGTGAGCTTTTGGCATGATTTTTAATTTATAAATTTAGTAATTTTAACACTGTTTTAGGCGGTTTTGATTGAAAATTATTTGAGATTCAAATTCGATGGGCTCAAACCCTCCGGACTGTAAAAAAAAGCTAGTTTGACCAGATGCGTACTAAGGTATTTGACAAGTTTTAGAAAACGATCTCACGTTATTGACTAATGTGTATGAAGTCCGTAAAAAGATATATAGATATTCATCATTCTGTTGCGTATTTCAGTAAAAATGACCAAATCAAAAACTCCATTTTCAAGTTGCCGCGAAAACGTTTCTCTGGACAATATGGCGTCTTACTAGTGTGTGACGTCACACGACTGTTATTAAAACGTCAAACGATACAATAAAATGTCACTTTAACCGGAAGTTTACTTGCGTATGACGTTATTTTAGGCTCCGCCAATCCCAAGCGGGTCACGTGACAATACATAAGAAAACTATAATTTTTTTCGTTAGTTTTTAGAAAAATTATATTTTTTTTTTTTGTAAAAATAGTAAAAACCCCTGCCAATATTTATTCTAAACACAGATGCTAACAATTGGCATCTTATATTTTAATACTGTCAAATACCCTATAATAGCGTTTTGTTTGCCAGGTCCTTATATTTAAAAATTGTTATTTGAAGGTTGTAAACATCGTTCAACAATTTTGGTCCATGGTAACGTCAGTTTTTCTTTCACCCAGCGTCCAGCGAAGGCAGTGAACAGTCTGCTAGAGTTGAGCAGTGATGAATTAATGGTGATCTTGGCTGATGCGAAAGGAAGCCATGTGGCTGATGCCTTCTGTTCATCAACATGCGTAGGGGTCAAGGCCAGGGATAAGCTCATATGGAAACTGAAGGTAGGAATACCAAAGATTATTAAATGATATTTATTTATTCACACAAAACAGAGTAAATACATTTTGGTGGTGATTTTCATTTAGTTCGTCCATATTGCCAACGACAGGGCATGTAAATATCGAACTTTATTTAATTCTAAAATTTATAGGTACTTATGTCATTTTACTTATTCTATTCTAAGCCAATTTTCATTTATAAATATTCTCTGAGCAAAAAAAAATTTCGTTATTAGCCACATTTTAAGCTTCCTTTTAAATATAGGCAAACTAAGCTCCGCTATCAAGTGTGCTAACTTATTATAGATTTTTATACAATTCGGATAGCAGTTTTTATTGTAATACTGAGTACGCATATTGGGCAACATCAATTAAAAATATTTGTAATGAATTAAGTGTTTCAGTACTTAAATATAACGTTTTAGTACGTATCTTCATCATCATCAGCCTATTAATGTCCCCACAGCTGGGGCACAGGCCTTCCCTATGGATGGAATAGGGGATTGGCCCATGGCCCAACACGCGGGCCCAGTGCGGAATGGCGTGTGCTAACGACTGCAGATGCAGCCGGGACCAACGGCTTAACGTGCCTTCCGATGGAAGATTTATGGTCACCCATCCAATGACCGACCATTGCGAAAGTTATATCTATTTAGTTCAAAATAACTAAATACCCCTGGGATGGATATTGTCGCACTTTGGCACAGATAATCATGACTATAATACCTTGCAAACAAATGTAGTTAAGCCGTGGCACACGTGGGTGCAGTGTCCATACATTTTTGCCTGATGACCTTTATTTTAATACTAGTGGGTGCTCGCGGCGAGGAGCTCGATGGCGCAGGTGATTATCGCGTTCGGCTGCGATCATTGAAGTTAAGCAACTTTCGCAGTGGTCGGTCATTGGATGGGTGACCAAAAATTTACTATCTCGAGCTCCTCCGTGCTTCGGAAGGCACGTTGAGCCGTTGGTCCCGGCTGCATCGGCAGTCGTCAGCACCCACCAATCCACACTGGGTCCGCGTGGTGGGTCATGGCCCAATCTCCCTATTCCATCCATAGGGAAGGCCTGTGCCCCAACAGTGGGGACATTAATAGGCTGATGATGGGTGCTCGGGAATTCGTCTGCGTGGAAATAGTTACCTATTGGTTTCCTATACAAACTTTAGCTTCACGCCCTTAAAAGAAGATATTTATGTAAAAAACATCCCATGTCCTTTCCCGGAACTCATACTAACTCTACACCAAATTTCATTCAAATCCGTTCAGCGGTTTAAGCGTCAAGAGGTAGAGGTAACAGACAGACCGACACACTTTCGCATTAACAATACTGGTATGGATTACTATATATATATATATATTTATTTTCATCACCAGGGTTTCTACCAGAAACTGGCATTATCTCAATACGGCTCAAGAGCATTCGAACGTATTTTCGAAGCGGCCAGTGATGAACAGAAAGTCAAGATTATGTCAGAACTGTCAGACAAGAGTAGTCTTCTCAACAGCACCAGCTATGGGAAACTTATCGCCAACAAGCTGGACTTGGCTACCTTCAAACTGTCACAGAAGAAATGGGAGCAGGCGAGATTGAAGAAAAGTGTTGTAGAAAAATAAAAAAAAATAAAAAAATACATTGTAATTCTTTTTTCTTTTCTTTTAAAATTAAAAAAAAAACGACTTTAAAATCGAAAATGGAACTAAAAAGTAAAAACTAATATATTGTTTTAAACTTTCATGGTCCCGCGTATAGCGGCCCGCCCTCGCTTCGCTTCGGTGTAGAGCTGAAGTGTAGACTACAGTTTTTGTTCTCAGGCTTGTATTATACACAATGACACTCAGCTTTGAGTTTTTTATATATAGATGTTAGTGATTTATATATAAAAAAACTCAAAGCTGAAATTTGGAATGCAGGTAGATGTTATGACGTAGGCATCCGCTAAGAAAGGATTTTGATCAATTCTACCCCCAAAGGGATAAAATAGGGAATGAAATTTTGTATGAAACTTTGTCAATTTTAAACCGATCGGGCTGAGACTTTGCATGCAGGTATAAGAAGAATCATAGATGAATGTCATTGTGTATAATACAAGCCTGAGAACAAAAACTGTAGTCTACACTTCAGCTCTACACCGAAGCGAAGCGAGGGCCGCTAGTTATAGATATTAACGGGATTGTTACCATGTACCTTGTTTTTTACGAGTCTCCGATATTTCGGCACTGTTGCAAGTATCAGATCGCGGAACGACACTTTTTTGACTTTTGCAGGTTTTTACACATACGAACCATAATCAATACCATAATTCATAATCTACAAATTATCTCGCCAGAACGCCACTACATACCAAGATTGGTCAGGGAAGCGATTGAAATAACCAAACACAAGAATTTCAATCGTGAGGGTTTAAATTGTCTAGTGTGTGAAATTCAGTGGTTCGTATGTGTAAAAACCGAAAAAATCAAAAAAGTGTCGTGTCGCTATCGGATACTGTAAGTGTTGTGTGTCGGGAACAGTTTCGAGTGAATAGTGAGAATGTGACCAGTGGTAAGCGAACGCAATAAAAGACTTTGTCGGAGGGTAGACCGATATGTCTGCCAATAACTGCCTACCCGCAATTACTTCAGTTACTCCGTGATCATGGCGCTTGATACAGTGCCGAAATATCGGAAACTCGCTAAAAACAAGGATTCAAAGACATATTATTACCGATCAGAAACGAAAATCTATTTAATGTTTCAATCTTGACCCCGCCCGACTTCCATATCATGAACCTTAAATGAAATTTTCGATTTAAAAAGTCGGATTAATTTTTTGTTTATTTTTTTTTTATTTCATCCGTTTTAGTGAAAATAACATCGTCCAAGTAAACAATAACACAATTGACGGAGAAATCGGTGAACATGAATAAAAAACATCGTGCGTGACTTTGAAATTTGAAGTTTACCCTAGATTTCTCCGGATTCCACCATCAGATCCTGACTTGGTTCCAATGGGACCACCTCGGAAGTGCACTCTTACGAGTAAAAAAAGAAATTTGGAAATCGGTCCACAATTGGCGGAGAAATCTCCCCCTTTTTTGAAGTCGGTTAAAAAGGGTAGCAAACAAGAATATTGACGACCTCCGTGGTCGAGTTGTTTGTACGCCGGGTTTCATGCTTTCGCCAACTTGTGAGGTTGGCGAAAGCATGAAATTCGAATCCCGGTGGGATGATTGTGTCACGAAAACACTTACACCAATTAGCCTAGGCCCAAAGTAAGCACTGTAAGGCTTGTGTTATGGGATGCTAGGGTAACGGATAGAATACATTATACAGTACACATATAAGTATATTTATATCGAAATACATATGAAACATCCATGACTGGAGTACAAATGCTCATATTCATCACACAAACATCTAACTCTCCCTCCCACCACAGCTCCCACCGGGACTCGAACCCGGGACCTCTCGAGTCAGCGACACTATGAAACACGGCGTACAAACTACTCGACCATGGAGGTCGCCAAATCATCGTTCATCCGTGGCCCACCCGACTAGAGTTACCATCTGTCCGGATTCAACTCATTTGTTGCAACCATGTGTACAGTGGGTGGTAGGTACTATCGCGGAATTTTGCGCTCTGTCACTTGGCGAACAATAGTTATTTATTATACAAGAGTGGAAAGTTCCTTTTTAACCGCGTGCTCGATTTGGATGACCGAGCAAGCGAAGGATTCTAAAGTTGAATCACGAGCGCAGCGAGTGATTCTAAATTAGAATCCTGAGCGTCAGCGAGGGAAACAAACGAGCACAAGGTGAAAAATCTTTCCACTCGAGTGCAATACGTAACTTTTCATCCCACCTCAGCGAGGAAATGACAAAATGAAAAAGAAAACAATTTATAATGACAAAATATTTTTATTTCAATTAAAACACATTAAGATAATCTATAAATTGAAGAAAATAATAAGAAGTAGAAAATAATTAAGAAATATTAAATGTAACGTTGCTACAGTTACTTATGTTAAGTTTAATATTTTTGTTAGGTAATGTTATGTTGGTGTTTGTGAATTGTGCGCTGTTTTGTGGTAAACTACTCGTATCAGTAATTTTAAATAGTTGTGCCGATTCATTGGATTCTATTGGCGTAAATGTTGGCGAGAGAGGGCTATTGTTTCCAATCTTATGGGGGCTCATTTTAGATGTAGAAGGGCGAGACCAAGAATCTGACAGAGGTTCTTTCAGCGTTATGACCTCCACGATACTATTACAAATTTTTGATTTACTTTGGATTGAATCCTCTATGTATCCCTCTACAACCGAATTAGACTTCCAGCCTCCATGGCGCTTAAGCGATAGAAGATCAGCCCCTGATTCGGCCAAAAGTGTGGCTGAGGTTCTTCTAAAACAGTAACCGGTGTATAACGGGGGTTCTAAAAGTCCGAGAAAAGTTGCTATTTCTCGTGGAATACTGCCAATTTTATTCTGACCCATAGGTTGTCGGATACACTTTCCGTTGCGATATTGTAGAAAAAATCGTTCAATTGGGGTGTTAGAAGGACGTAAAGCTTGATATTTCTGAACAATGTTTACATATTCCTTGCGAATAACGAAGTTGCGGTCTTTTTTTGTCTTGGTATTTAGTACATTAATTAATAGCAATTCATCAGAATTATGAGAATATTTTGATACGTTATTGACATTAAGTAGTGTAAGTTCATTTGTTCGACATGCTCCGGTTATACCAATAATAAGAACAACCTGTAACAAAAGAAGTATTTATAATCGTAAATAAATTAATCAAATTAAAAATATTGTAAGTACTATGTACAATTTTATCAACAACAAAAAATTACACGTATTGACTTACTTTTGCCGCTAAATATACGGAATCAGGTGCTTCATTAATAAACTTTGCAATTTCAGATGCTGTGAAAACCTTCGATTTTTTTGGTTTATAACCAGATGAGGCTCTTTTTAAAAATGCCACTAATTTATGATAGGTGTCGATATGAACGTCTTTCTTCATCTTAATTGTTAATTTTAGCATTGAATACGTACTCCATAGCGTGCTTGCTTTCTTGGTCTCAGATAATTCTATAAAATATGCCAGCAAAACGTTTTCGGGGAAAGTTTTTGCTCCTTTAGCTAGTCGCCACATGTTAAATATATCGTACTGTTTCAAATACTTCTCTCGTGATTGCTGAGGGAGAAGGCTCATTTGCGCATTATTAACTGTTTCAGTTAACTCAGTTGGCGTTAGATAAACTTCATCGTCGCTAATGTCACTCATTTTAGTTGATTTTTTTGTACAGTTTTTAGGTTATGTTAATTATATTAAGCAATAAAACGTGAAAAACTAGAATGGCGCGAAGCACGCAAATAAAACAAAGAAACCAAGAAGGTTCCAAATTTAAATTTTTTCACAATTTAAAAAGTTCTAATCATAAATTTGGCACCATAGAGGTTACATTAAATAGGTTTAATGACGTTTTGAATTTACAATTATATTGAGTACTCATTATATGTGATGTTCTAAATTCAAATCTACTTTGCCGCTCAAGCGAATAAAATAGAATTTTCCAGCCAGATTTCGAAGCGCAAAATTACACTTTCCGAGGTGGTGGGATGAAAAATGCTTTGAACGGTTTTCTACAGTAGTTTTTATTACGCCCCGGCTTCGCGTCGGACGCGCCAATCCGGGCCGCCGCACAAAAGTAAGACAGAGAGCATTTCATTGATTGAATAATGAATTGAATTGCATTTGTTTTAGTTGCAATTTGTCATCCGCATCGTGATAGCGATAGCGCTATACGAAAAAGTGAGACAGCGATAATTGCATGTCTATGAATGAATTTTTACTACGCCGCTACCGCAAGCGATTATGGGTGACAGAGCGGGTCTTTCCGCGAGTGTACTTATATAAATATGATCATTATTGACCTCGTCCGGCACGCAATTGGTTATTAGAAGAAAGGATGCGCTTCCCAAATGAACAACACTAACATTAAATTTTATGAAATGAAATGAAATGTCATTTATTCAGTGTAGGCTGTTACAAGCACTTGTGAAGGTCAAGAAGCTACGCCATCGGTTCGCAAAACTACGGCGGGAGACCTTGTACTGAGAAGAACCGGCAAGAAACTCAGCAAGGGCTGTTTTTTTCTCCCTGTATTGTTATATACAGTGTCGTCAAGTTGAAAAATTACTTCAGAAATACGTCTGAAGTCACTTTCCATTACATCATCTAGAATATAAATATATAGTTACAATTAATTTTATAGTTAACATTTTAAGTAGTATATAGGAAGCGGCATTAGATAGGTACAATATTACTCTACTCTACTCTACTAGATAATCATCAACTTTATAATAGCCCTTATTCATAAGAGTATTTTTGATCTGAGATTTAAATTTAGTCAGTGGAAGCTCAATCAGATCTTGGGGAACTTTGTTAAACAATGCAATACTACAACCCAGAAATGAACCTCTTGATTTTTGGAGTCTGAAACATGGAACGGCAAGCTTGTACTTAAATCTCGTGTTAAAGTTATAAATTGGAAGACAGAGATTGTTTCATAGGTTAATTTTTGATTGTGATACTTAATTGGTTTTTATTTAGATTTTTATTATAGGCAGGACTGTTAGGTTACAGTCCGGACTT